AGTGTGTACACATCGAGACACATGTATGCGTTATTTCCTGAATACCTACATGTGCAGCAAATACTGCGTACATTATCATGTATGTACCAAATAGTTGTTGTACACTCACACTTGGTGTGTACATGGCCACACTTCCTCGTATAGAGTCCTTGCTAAAAGCTATGTGCCGAATTGTGTACCTGGCTATGTACACATACTATTAGCCCTAAGACGGAGGCGGCCTGTGTGAGGCTACAAGCGGAAATGGGTAGGGGGTGAGGCGCGAGGCCAAGCGCGCTGGAATCTCGAGGCAAAGCGTTCGGGGGGTTTATGGGCGATCACAAAACCGCAATACGGTGCGCATGCCGATTTCTGTGCGGTAGCAGCGCCCAGGGTACCTACAGCCGCCCTGATTGGCAGATTGGCTCTGAGGAGGCTACCAGGGCGACCCCCCAAAAGAGAGAGAGACTCACGGAGCGGTGTGATTATTCCGTTGATGGAAGTTTGCGTTGCTTGATATCGACTAATAGTTTGGTGTAGCTGCGCCGGGCCCTTCACCGCCGCCTTGCCCGCCCGATATTGGCGCTACCGCTGCTCCTGTCCGGTGCTTATCGCTCGTGTCCCTGCCACCGCGCTGCTGCTTGCGGGTGATGTACTCTGTAACCGCACCGGGCATCCCCCGTTATTGTGCTCTGTACTCTGTGTCGTCCACACACTGCAAACCCCAGTGACGATGCAGCACACGCGCGGTCACACACTTATGCTGCGGGCTTGTTAAATTCCTATCGTACATTTTGAGGAGACTCACTCCTCGATACTTGTACAAGTGTGCAAATGGCAATTCACACTCATGTTTGCAGCACTCGTACTGTTGGGTTTTCACTGTAAATGTACGAAGTTTGGATTGAATGAGTGATTTCCACTGTAGTAAATTTGCGTCTTTGCCAACGTCTAAGCAAATGACAAAGCTTTATATTTAAGTCTAAAATCTGTATCGTCAAATTATGCTACAGTAGACCCCAAACACATCACGAAATGTTGTGATCGAAGTTAAAGGCCTGGCCTATTTAGGGATCTTTAAAACCTGTTCCTATTACCACAATAACGAACATTTATGAGATTTGATTTTGAGTTCCTTGTTTGCTCAACATTGATAAACAATCTTCTAAGTTGTATACTTAACACCCCTGCTCTACACCCTCCTCACCCACTCGAGCCGCCCGACCACCATGGCGCTGGTGCTGGCTCGTCCAAGCAGCGCGGTGGCGCGTTGGTTTGCTTGTTGGTGAGAGGGTTAAGGGGGAAGGAGTAGGGGGGGAGAGGGGTTGCACAAAAGGCCCCGAGAGATTGGCTGCACTACTTGCGGTGACGCGGCGAGGGACGGCGGCGGTGGAGGGGTGGTGGGGGCGGGGAGGGTGGAGAGAGGCTGGGCGGCGAGCAGGCGAGGGGGCGCTAAGGCCATTTCGTTATAGAGGTGCGGGGCGGCTGTATTTATGCCCCGGGGAGTGTCAGGCCCTCGCACAATAGATCCGCCCATGGTCCCCGTCCGTCTGGCGATGCAAAGCTCGGCCTCAGCTGATCGCTCCGCGACCAAATCGTATTATTTTGTTGGGGTCGATACAACTTTTCTTTTCGTTACGCGTCTTGGAAATAAAAACCGAAAACGGGCAAAATCTGAAACTTTTTGAATTAGACGCAGAGTGTCAAGTTTGTATTTCCCACGCTGTGCTCCATCTCTCTCTTTATCCCCGCCGGTCCCGCCGCGCCGTTGCTCTTGCGATGCGATGGCCGATATCACCCATTCATAGTTTCCCGCCCCCTCACGCTCGCGCCGAGAGGATATCGTTTCGGCTCAGCTCGGCGGCGGCGGCGGGGCTCGGTTCGGGTTTTTTGGAGGCGCGCGCCACGCGCGATGTTACTTTAGGCCAACCAAATGAGGGGGGCTTTTCGTTCAAAGTCAAAGCGATGGAACAAAACTCCTCAAAGTTGGCAGAGCGCTGGAAGTTTCTTCCCCGCCGCGCCCCATCCCTCTCTCTATAAGTATTATGACTCAGTGCAAATAGTGATATAATGGGGCCGCCTAACGAGATTCCCCCGCCGGGCCTTGGTGGGGGTGGCTGGGGGGGCGCCGCGGCGATGGCTGTTGCGGTCACCGAGTCCGCCGCCGCCGGATTCCCGGCCGCGCACCACCCGTTTGCGATTCCGCGGGAATGTTTGGATTTTCAGATGAGGCCGCAAAGACAAAAAAACACACAATGAAATCCTGAAACGAAGTCCTCTCACCCTAAAGGCTTGCTCGCCCCCTCTCCGCCGTCGTCAGGAAAATGAATGGTGGTGCGACTGGCTCGTGGGGTCAGCCGATAGGCTTGGCCGTGAAAGCAGAGACCATGAGGGGCCATGCTTTCGGCCACCGCTAATGGCAGTGTTAAAGAGACTGAAGAGGGCGCCATGACCCGACTGCCATTTATCCACTTTAATGCCCCCACCCCCTTTCCCTTCCTTTTCCTCTCTTTCCGCCGCTCTGTCTGCCTCTCTCTCGCACTGGTGGAGCGCGTAACGCGCACAGATCCATGGCGCAGAGCGAAGCGCTATGGGCCTTCCACAGCCCCCTCTCTACTGCTGGAGGCCCGCTCTGGTCGCCGGCGCAACTGTTGGTCACCGAACGCAATGACACGGCCGATAGCGTGCAACACAACGAGCCTACCCCCTCTCTTTCCTCTTTATCTCTCTCTCTCTCTCTCCCCCCTCTCCCCCTCTCTCTCTCGCTCTCTCGCTCTCTCGCTCTCTCACTCTCTCACTCTCTCGCTCTCTCCAACCGCACCGGAGGCTCACGGCTTGCCGCGCCACCATTACGATAACAATGTGTGTGCGTTTGGCTGCGGTTATGAGGCCCATTTCCAATCGACACTGGGAGAGAGGGGGGGGGGGGGCAAAGAGGGTGTGCCGCCGCGCGCCCGACGCCGAACGATATGGTGTGCGTAAAAAAAGAGCCCGATGATACTGCTTCCCTTTTTTTCTAAATACAATGACTGTGTGCAGGTAAGCGTGAAGCAGGTGCTTTAGCTGCGCGCTCATTACAGGGTGGCGAGCCGACCTGCGAAAGTCATCTGCCTCTCGCAGCACCCCTCTCTTCCTGGCGCGCCCGCTACTCCTTCCTCCTCGCCTCCCTCCCTACTCCCTCCCCCCCCCCTCTTACTTCCCTCTTCCCCCTCACTCCCCTCTACCGTCCTACCGCCCTGCCGTGGTCGCTGTGTGCAGTCGTGTACAGAGAGCATGATTCTAATGTCGTAATTTGTTTCGCTGGCCGACGCTGCCGCGCGCGCTTGCCGCTCTCTCATGCTACGCGCGATGCTTGGACGACTTTTGCTTGCGGAAAGAATTTAGATTAAAATATTTCCATCGCGCCGGAAACGGAAATAAAATGAGGGCGAAAAAAATAATCTCAGTGTTGGCCAAAGAGAGTCGTCCAATTACACGAGCGCATTCCTCGAGTAACCGCGGTAGGGTGGCTGAGGCGCGGGGGGAAGGCCTGGGCTGGGCTTGGATGCACTGAGCTCGGTCCTAACTTGATCGGCCGCTCCCGCTCTCCTCGTGCTGCTCGCTTCGCTTCTCCAATCCCCTTCTTCCCGCTCACCCCTCCGGAGGGCCCTTCTTTCCCCCGTTTTCGCCCCTGGGAGAATGACATTAACACGTTGATGCTTTTGCAGCCAGAGGGGGGCCCATGTTACGCCGTTACGGGCCGAGGGACATTCGACTGCACCGTTAAAAGAAGAGATCTTCAGCAAGTATTGTATTTTTTTTGTGTGTGTGTATTTTAGTCTTAAGTAATTTGTAAAACATTGTACTTTTAGTGTTTTGCATACATAAATTTTGTGAAAGTTGTCTTTCATGTGTCGTCAATTCAATTTTTTAACTGAATATTAACGGTGGATATATTTTGTTTTACAGTGTGCGTCGCTCGCGGGCGCGTGGTTCGTCGTGACGCGGTAAGTTGCGGTGCGCGGGCATGGCTGCTCGTGGCTTTGGGGCGTGTGCTTTGGGAGGACACGATGTTCCTGAGAAATCTCTGCGCTGCTGCGCGGAAACACTTGTCCCCCGCTGGGGCTGGGGAGCAGCAGCAGCAGACGGCGCGGCGTCGGCAGCAACCGGCCAGTCAGACACCTCCAATTGTGTTCCCGGCTGATTCCAGGGCTAACTTTATCTCGGCGGTCGGGGCGAGAGAGGGAGGAGCGCGGCGGAGGAACGGGTCGGGGGGAAAGAGAATGAGGTGGTGAAGGCTGCTGATGACAGAGAAACGGAACTTTGTCTCGCCCTTTTGCGGCGGCTGCCCGGCAGGGCCCGGCCTGGCCCGGCATCATCGGGGGCGGGAGCAGTAGAGAACAGCAGTTGTTTTTCTTTCGCCAGCTGCTGACACACTGTGTAAAACGAAACAGAAATGACGAGTTCGCGACCGCGAGTGCGCGCGCGCCCTTCCCCCTGCCGCACGATGGTGCTGGTGCGGCGGGGAGTCCATCATAGCGGCCGCGTTGTCGCCCTGTCACACCTCGGGGGGCCTCTCTGGAGAGCCGTAGCGAAAGAACGAGAAGTTTTAGAAATGACGGAATGGTGACCTTCCCGGCGTCCTCCCCGTTGTAGCGGCCGAGGTGGGCGTTGTTCTCCCTCGTCTCCCCGTTTTCCGCCATTTGTCTATGGGGGGCGTCCTTCTTCTCTTATCCCCTCTGCTGGTGGTGCGGCGCCACGACGGGATATGGTTTACCCTCGACAATCCAAGAAAGCCGACCGAGCCTTGGAAAGTTTGCCTTTCGCGCGCAACCTGACAAGCAAAGTCTTTGCGAGCCCACCCACCCTCTCCTTCCCCCCCGGCCGGCGCCCGTCTTACATTAGTAAAGCACGGGCCGAGTTTCCGATGCGAATTGTTAAACTTGGGGCTGACACCCGTAGGGCCTGTGCCGCCGGCGGCGGGTGGGGGCGGCCCGCGGGGAGCGGTATGGCGGGGCGGGGCGGGGCCCTATACTAGTCTCATTTCGTCTATCAGGAGAAGATTAGTCTACCCAGCGCCATTCCGACGGAGCGCTGCCGATTTCCAAACGACCTGGCCTCTTTCCACTCCCACCGGGACTACTCTGAGCGTTCGTACCCCGGCAACATGAGCGCCCCTCCCCCTCGCACTTACCGACTCTTGTAAAATTGTTCTTCTTTCCCCGCGCACGCAGTGCAAAAGGGTGATTTTGCCGTTCCGAACAGATTGCTCATAGGAAGCTGACTTATTTGTTGGTTGGTAAGCTACGAACATGTGTGCGTACCTCACCGAAAACATTCCTTTTAGTGGTTGCAACCGTTGCAACGTATTGCGGGGAATGTATAGCTGTTGCAATCCGTGCCAGCTTTGTGTCAACCCATGTTTTCAACTACTCTGAGGCTATTTTCCTGCTTTGCATCTCCACACCTCTCTTCTCTCGCTCTCAGCCCAACCGCCCACCCTACCCTCCCTCCCCCGCTCCCCAAATCACCCTGCCTTACCCTCATCACCCGCCAAGCCCGTCCCCTTCCAATCTGCTCCCGGCCACCGCTAACCCATGTGTTGATTACAGCCCCTGCAAGCGGCGCGCGAGCACAGATGTACTTCGCTACCCCCTCTCCCTCCTTTAGTAGAGACTGCGAGCAGGGACGTGCTTTTCTCACGGTCTCATCGGCATGTACAAGGGTGGCCGTTTTGCCTTGTTTGGAGCGGATGCGTCTGTACTACTAGCCCGGATATTCGAGAGGGGTGAGGCCTTGTTTGCCTATTCGAAGCGGCCCTAATTCGCTGGTTCAACTAGGCTGGATGCCGGCTAGTGTACTCATTCGCTCCAAACGGCACAAATCGCCCACCATGTGTAGCGAATTACATTTTTTTTTCTGGGGCGAGAGGGGGGGGGGGTACACCCAAGTCTTTCTATATTTTACCTTTAAGTTATGAAGAAATTCTCCTTAAGAATACGAAGAACTAAGAACTACTTCGTTAGATTTCGAAGATCTACTTTGTAAGATTACAAAGAACTACTTCGTAAGAATACGAAGGACGACTTCGCAAAATTACGAATAAATTAATCAGAAGATTTCTGCTGTAGAGGGATGTGGAATTATTTGTTCCGCATTTTCTTGTAATGTAATCGCGTGTTATAACATTTCTTATAGTGGTTCTGTTCAGACTGAACAAGAGAAGTACTCACTGTCCGCGTATGGCTTTATGGCCACTCTCTTCCCTGTGCACGCACTTCCCTAGTCACAGAGAGACGGTTTCGTTGTTGAATCGGGACTTTTCTCCCACTGCAGTATTCTAGTCGGGTGCTGTTTCCCCATGCAGAGAGCCCAACACACACAGTGCCTTGCACGGCTCGGCGCAACGACTGTTGACGAATCTCGGAGTGGCGTGTCGTCTGCTTTTGTGGCGCTCGTGCGGTGTTGCCAAACTAGGCCGGGAGCGCGCCAGCAGCACATCATCCTTCTGAAAGAGTAAACAAGCCGCGCACGGCCTCCCGCGTCCCACCGTGATGCAAAGCCCCCTCGAGCCGGAGCGCCTTGAACATCGACGTCGTGTGTACGGTATTCCGTCTGTTCGCCTTAAAGCGATTTCGCCCCCTCTAAATAAACAAGTGCAGGTGGAAACAGACCGCGCCGCCACCGCCGCCGCCGTTTCTCCACATTGTACGGGCTATTAGGTGCGGCGCAGTGGGAAGTGCTGGATAGCTGTGCCGGGCAAGCGCCACTCTCGGCCTAGGGGCCACAGCTCTTTTGTGATCAAGATCGAGTACAACTACAGCAGTCGAACCAAAAAAAATGTGTTAATTTTTAGAAAAATGCTTCGTTACGGTAAATATTTTGAGCGCCTTAAATTGCCTAGACCGGTACTTTACTTTTTGGTCATCCTCAAACTTAAGGTGTGCAATGCAGCGCAATCATGCAATCTTTGTTGTGCAAATTTCACATTGAGCTCACAGATGAATAAAGTGTGCAACTGGTGTTACTTGCAAGTGTACAAAAGCATATTTGAACACTTTCAAGTGTCAAAAGCTTAATAGCCAACCTCAGAGTTGAACACGTCTAAGTGTGAAACACTGCTTTTTAGTAGTCGAATATCTAGTAAAACACTTAAAAGTGTGCAGTGTAGTGTTCAGCACTAGCATGTGCACGCCAGTTGAACACTTTATTTATCAGTGTTGTGGCCTCCTCGCACTCCACTCCACTCTGCTGTGCCGGACCGGGCCGAGCCCGAGCGGGAGCACAATATAACGAGAATTACACCAGAGGACGCTCGGTGGCGGCCTGGGCTGCCGGCCGGGGCCACAAGTCACTCTCTCGCGCTGTCGCTTATTCCCTCTTATTTGGTGGGGCGATCTGCTGGGACATAACAGCATCTCTTGCGCTGCTGTGCCACTCCGCAAAATATTCGCCCACCCAGAGAAACATGTCCTCGATTTTCAATGCGCTTATGTGTTGGGAACCATCCGAGGGGGCAATAACTCCCTTTTGAAGTGTACACATGATTCCCGAAATACTTTATTCCCAGTGATTCCCGGTGATTTCCTCCCGCTTATATATATTCCTTAGGTTTTCTAGTTGTAGAAAACGCTTATTTCGACTTATTTGTACCAGTTCCGTTAGTTTCCCGCTTAGTTAAAGCGATTTCTGTTGATTTCGATCAATTTTTTGGCTGAGCGATTAGCGAAGCCTATTACTCCGTCTGGTCGGAAAAAACTTTTTCTGTCTGTCTGTCTGTGTGTGTGTCTGTCTGTCTGTCTGTCTCTCCGCACGATAACTCGAGAACGAATTGAGCGAGCGACCTGGGATTTTCAGGGTCGTTTTGTACCATGAAAAGACAGGTCGAGTTCGAAGATGAGCATTCTAGCTCAAAAATTGGATTTTTAAAAAATCAAAAACAACGGGTCCGAGAAATGACGTTTTTTAAAAATATTTTTTTATGGTTTCCTAGGGGGTAACACATCAAAATAGAGCCCTTTGGGCGAAAATTTTGTCCGTTTTGCTCTAGCTCAAACCGTTAAGGCGCTAGAGGGTATTTTTGACGAAAATAAGCGAAAAAATACAAAACCCTGCATGCTTAGTCGAGGTGATTGGCCGTTGACGGGCCGAAGGCCCGTTCCTTTGTGTACATTTTCCCACTACCCGACTTGGGTGTCAGCGCCGCAGGCCAAGGTAGATGTATGCCAGGCGCGTCGCAGCGTAATAGTGTTTCGTGAGATATCGCGAAGCCTGTTACGCGAGACGTGGTCTGGCGTACATCTACCTTGTATCGTGATGATTCCCAGGCAAGTGTACACATGATTCCCGGAGTTCTTGCCCCCTCGGAACCATCTGTACTTGTAAACTTGCGTCGCTTGCGATATCATATTCTAAAATCACGAAACGCTTCTGAGACCATTGTACCGATTGTACCGACTTAAAACTTGTTTCAAACAAATTTGTTTTTCAATTTACGATTGCGATTGTAAATTCAAAACATCGTTTGTAATTCGAAAATGACCGTATAATTGCAACATAATTGTAAATTATTAACAAAGATCTTCCCAGTAGGTTAGTAAAGATGCGAACTTAAGCTGGCGGCAGATGCGGGGCGGGGTTGGGGCCCAGCCTGCGACTACTTCTTGTCGCCTGATGACACGGGCCTAATGCACGCGTACACATGTTCTCTTGCTACACATACACGCCGCCGGGGAGGCTCCTCGAGTGCTCGTGTGTGATGAGAGTGGAGCAGCGTGGCGTCGAGTCGTCGAGCCAATGGCAATTGAGTACCCGGGATGGTTTGCAGTTCCCTGGCGGAGCCCTGGAGTTGCCCTAGTGCCCCAGCCCTGCCAGCAGGTCGAGAAGAGGAAGAGCGGAGCGGCGAATCCGTCTCGTCCGGCCCGACTCCGACTCGGCAGTCAATATTGATGTTCGGTTATCTTGGAGGAGGCGCTTGCTTACGCTTATATGTCGAGCCCAGACAGCT